TTGACTCCATTAATGAAGAAAGTTCTGAGAAACCTATTGAACTGGGATATACACAAAATGCTGGGCAGCTAAAAATACAAATTGATTCATTATTGGAATTAGAGGCAGCCTCGGATGAAAAAAATAAAATTTTAAGTGATAAACTGAACTGCGTTTCAACAGAGTTAAAACAACAGTTATTAAAATGTTCAGATTTGTCTCTCGAAAATCGAAAACTACAAGGTTTAATTGAGACGAATACAAAATTCGTTGAAGATACAGGAACTCCCATAAAGGCTATGAGCACTTTCAACGAACACGGAGAAGAAAATGTAAATAAGCAAGCGGATAAACATATTATAGAAAAAACTCACGATAGTTCATTGTATATGTACGCCAAACAGAAGTTAAAGCCGCACAGGTATTGGATGTTTTTTGATGGGCAGAACGACCAAATTATGGTAATAAAAGCGCAAAATTCAAAACCAACAATCCTACGTAATAAAGAAGAAGTGAATAAATTTATTGAACAACCTTCCGAAAACGGAAACAATTTAATTTTGAATATTCGCTTTGAAAACTGAAGTAGAAAGTGACGCGTAGATGTAACATGAATTTAATATTAACTTACATATGTACATGTGTACATAATATTTAAGAAATTTGTATACTTATATTTCCTTGAATTTATTCATCACATCCACATACATTTATTTGGCTTTCATTATATATGTATTAGTAATTTGTTATTTCTTAAAATTGTTTGAGCAGAAGAACTTCAAGTAGACTCGATCTATAAAAGATTTTTAAATACAGTTTTTGTCGTGTTGAAGACAGCTGAAGAATGGACTTTGCCTTCTAGGCTTATATCTCCATTAGCTTGATGAATAGAAGGAATATATTTTATTTACATATCGGCCATAAATTTTGCATTTGATTACTTGGCAGAAAATGCATTTTCTGTAAACCATAATATGATTCATATTTTATTTATTTTAAATAAACACTTGTTTTGATAGATGAATAAAAAAGTGTAAAGAAGAAGAATAAAATGTTCTTTGAATTTATACAAAATGCAATTTCGATGGAAGACTTCTTTCAATAAATGATTGAACAATATATAATGGAAAAAATGGCAAGTGGTACTGGGCGATGAGACTTATGACTAAGAAAATTCTAATTTCAAAAACTGAATAAAAATGTAATAACAGTTCGCAAATTTACGCTACCTATATTAACCAAAAAGGTGGAGACTCGTTGCAAAATGCCCATAGAGCTGGATTAGATTATTTTGCGAAGTGATAGCTTTACTTGCTACTACTCATTTCACTTTAGTTTAAGAATTTATTTGTTTGAGCTTAAATAAATGAAAGAATTACTTTACTTTCGTACTTCTTATCAAAACCCTAAAAAATTGTATTCAATCCACGATATATTTCCTATACTTTTCATAGCATGAACGTTTTACAACAAGAAGTGAAGTACAGCGTTAAGTTTGAAATACTTTTAGTATTGTGTAATGATTGAATATGAAAGCATCAACCTGAGTGTGGATTGTTTCCAGATATCAAATATCATTTGAACCAATATAATCTAAACAGATCACTTTAATATCGGATTTTTATTTCGTTTATTTATTTTCTTTTACACTCTGCCACACGATTACAGGTAAATTTTCTAGCATATATTTTAAATAATTATGTTATATAACGAGAACATAAACAAGAATTATTTAATCCAAAATGTATGTCGTCATGCGGAGATTAAAATTCACTTTTTTTTCTTATGTTTTTGGGTTTGAGTTCAAGTTTATACCCACAGATTAGTTATCTCTATCGTGATCAACATGCACAACAAATAAGGTCAGCATTTTGAGCGGCTAAAAACATTTAACTTTAAAAGTAGAAAAAAACGATATAAAATGAACTGCGGATGTCGAACAAATTGATATATATGTATATATATATATTAAAGTGAGTACAATATGATTTTATGGTATTTTGAAAAGATTTGATGCGAAAATACGACCATAGCCACTACAAGTTGGAAGAATGCAATTAAGATACAAAAGGCGATATTGTGTATAAAAGTATTTTAAGTGACTGTGCTTTGGAAGAATCACCCTCTGCTCTTTTCCAGCTTTGATGATGTGCTCATTTACTCTTTATTTTGGCTTCGATTGCGGATTCTTTCCTTCTTTTATTCAATATAGAAAAAAAAAAAAAAAAAAAATTGTAATTATCCCATCTTCTTCTTCTGAGAAAAAAAAAAATCCAATGTGAATACGAAGCTCTTTACTTGAATCTTAATAAAGTTAGAGATTAACTTGATTGTAGATGTAAATAGATATAGAGAGCAGTAGTTCAAAATTTGAAATTTATTAACAAATGAAAATGCAAAGCTTGATTCAGCTTGATTAAAAAAATATCTAATAATTTATCAAATGAAATAAAAATAATAAGTTTACAATCAATGTAACGAGCGACCATGGGTGAGTCATGACTAATTCTAAGAAAATCGATTTTGTGATCTTTTGATCGCATTTTGGTACAAGTACTCGTTATTTTTAATGACTTAATCAATACATAATAACTCCATATCGAACGCTAATGATAAGATAATAATATTTTACTTTATTTGCTGTATGAAGTTGCTCCAATAAATAAACCAATAAATAAAAGATGCACATAAATGTATATATAGATATGTATATTTTTTAGGCATTTGCAAAAATTTTGATCAGCGACATTTACAGGTAAAAATTATAAAGAATTGGGAAATACATTTTCCATCTAATATTATTGATTTATTCAGCGTACGTCGACGCTAATCATCGAGCGCTCAGAATTCTTCTTCGTCCATTCGTCTTTCGTTCATTATTTTTCTTGTTTATTTGTAGAAATACACTGCTGTAGTCCACCAAACACGTTCAGAGACTTATGCTGCTGCTGCTCCATCGTATCCGAATCGCTGATTTTGGATTGGATGGTTTAAAAGTGACGACACAAATTGACTGAAAATGTCACTTCTTGCAAGAGTTGTCCAGGATACACTCTTGCAGCTCGAAAGGAAAGTTCTGCCACACCACATGTACTGATTAGACAAGGCACCTCCTAATTGCCGCTTGTTCATGTCCATGCAGCATGGCTTGCCGGGCACACGAGTCCGCAAAGTTGAAGCAGTGCGAAAAAGGGTCGGTAGGTGGATTGCTGTCTGTTGTAAAATATTGTAAAAAATGATGGAAACTATTTTGATTAATATATATTATATCTATTTCCCACAATAAATGGCTTTTTCAAGTGAAAAAGTGATGAAAATTTTTGCAAACACCTAACATATACTGCCAACTCAATAATATGTAAAACAAGCAAGAACATTGTAACATCGGGCAAGGCCGACCATTAAATAGCTTATACCACATTATCTAAAACAATTCTAATTTCTATTATAGAGCACAAAAATATTATGTTGTTTCGATGTAAAAGTATACTTTCCATGTGCATGTGCATGTTTATGGTGAAGCGGGTTCTAAACGCAACCTAACGTAAGACAAGTTTAATCCTTATATATGGCTAGATCCAAAAATATGTGTAGATGGTCCAAATTTTGTAGAGTTCATTTTTATATGAAATTGCTATAACATTATGGGTCCATTTTAATCAAGGCATATTCAAATTTATACTTTTCTACTCTATAAAGGATCAATTGTGAAACTCCTTATTGGAATAGGATCCAAAAAAATACGCCAAGATGGGCCAATTTTGGTACAGTTACTTCTTTTATATTAAATTACAATTATGATATAATCTTCATCGTGAAGCATTGAAAGCTCACTTCAGTTTCCGCTGTATAAGGGGTTTCAAAAATTCTGCTAGCCGGTCCAAGGTTTTCATATCAATTTAGAATACTACTACTTAGCCACTTTTGCTGAGAAATTTTTCCACGACTTTTCAAAATAAGGCGTTGCGTGGGGAGTGGTAGAAAAAGTAAACCAAAGCGAACCGTTTTCAATACTGTTTGTCCTTGGGTAAAACGAAGTCAATGTACTACATTTCATCAAAATATTTTGAAAACTAGGATCTACTGGTTGAACATGAATGTACATGGACAGACACGCTTAGATCAATTCAGATTATAATTTTGAATCGATCATTATAATAAACGGTGGGTCTATCTTAAGTTCTTCTGCGCGTTACATACGTCCGCACTAATTCAATATACCCGGTATCTCAAGTTGCTTAGGGTATAATAACGAACTTTTTTTGTTAATTATCTTAAATGGATTGACAAAACTTAGTTTCACCCATGTTCTGTTTTTCCTCAAAATACAAAAAATTTCGTGGATATGTTTGTTTTTGGTAAAAGCTTTTAAAAAAAAGGTATTTTTTGGTTCGAGATTTGCATTGAGGTATTATTCGAAAACTGTCACAACCACTTATTGTCCATTATTTAAAATTTAAGCAATCGTAGGGTGTCTTTCTATTTATTGCTTGATTCATGGAAAATTAACGATAGCAGCGAAAGCGAAAATCTTAACTTAACTTCGTCAAAGACAAGAATCGTTTAAAAGATAGGTAACAGTTTTGATAGATTAATAGAAAATGATTGTAAGGTTTTCCAAATATTAGTCGCTTTTTGAATGCGAAAATATATAAGTGAAAGATAAATTTCATCGAAATTTTTTTCTCTTTTTTGTGTTTTACTTCATTTTAATCGACCAAAATATAATCAAAAAACTAAAAACCTGTCAAAATTTGAAAATTAAAATATATAAAAATTTTTCTAATTCTTAGCAAATAAAATTTTATTTTGCATGTGCGAAGAGCCTGAAATAAAAGAAATTAAAAGCATGCATTCTAAAGAAAAAAAAAAAAGTTCAACTCAACAAAAATGTAGCATCGTACAAAAGCCTGGAAGAAATATTAATCGGGAAGAATTTATGTGAAGTAATCAATCTGAAATTATAATTAAATCTATAAAATACCAATCGCAATATAGCGGATATTCTGTTGATCTAGAATAAACCAATACGAACGAACTGGTTTTCCATGCATTACGATATACTACCCACGTACGCCGGCACTTTTGAAATAGTAAATAACAAAGAAAAAAAAAAAAGTTCTTATCCGGTCGCACAATCAATTACACAATTTTTTCACATTAATGAAATGACTTTCCAATCGTTGTGCTTCTTTATCTACATACAGATGAAATTTTTCCATTTATTCGGGTGACGTTGGCCGTTATCACAATGCGGCAAAAGTTAAATACAAATTCTCGTCAAAAGATGTAACAAAATATAATATGCGGCCACTTTAATGTGTCCCAAAATGTACGCAAGGGTTATAGGGCATATGGTTACGTCTTCTTGCAACTGTGTATCATTCTCTTTATGCACACAACTTAAATGCAAATATAAAAAGTTAAATTTTTATTGCTTGTCTTATTGCTTGCGTCTGTCGTTTTGAAAAATATAAATTCTAATCAATCCCTTTTCGCGACTTGGTGAATGCATTTATTGGTCTAATATCGTTCATATATCTCGTAAATTCCAAATACGGCAATTTTGTTGTTTAACCGAACCATTCAATCTACTGAAGGTAAAAAGGAATGTAATCATTGAAAAAATTAATATTCAATTTGTTGTTGTTGCAAATGTCAATGGACTGTCTACTGTCACGCAATTTTTTTTTCGTTGACAACACTTTACCGGACAAATGGCGCAAAATATAAATCTTACGAAAATTTTTATGACAACGTACATTATTATTACTATGTATTTTTTTTTTATCAAAGCAATTCCAAAAGCAAGAACTAAGGGCAGAACACAAAGAAACCGAGCACATTGCAATTAAAGTTAAATGCATTCATTGAAAGCAATCAATACGAACGCAATGAAATTTTCAAGCATTTTCGGCCTGAAAAATTAATCAATTTACTAAGCATCAACGGTCTTGCCAACTTATGCCGATTTTATTTTGCTAACAACATTCCATAAAGCAGAAATGTTATCAATCAGTATATCAAATTCTAAATCGTTTCAAGCATGTCCGTCTGTCTGTCGGCCCATCTGTTTGCATTTATGCGGTAAACATTCGTCTGAACTTCTGCAAATTTAGAAATTATTGCGGGCAGTTTGGTATCGAAAACATGCGAAATCGATTAAAGGACACGCCCACGATAAAACATAGGCTGAAAATATCTCTATTTTCATAAGCAAAAAAAAAATTGATTTGTTTTCCCTTTATTCATTCATATCATTATCATACAACAGACATAGTGATAAAAATTTCAACGGAAGTAATATAAGTAACCTGACAGTGTATCAATAAAAAAATGAGCAATGTCGGCTATGCCCTAGCAATTTTGAAATAAAAGCAAATAATGGTTTTTAATTAATTCATAATATTTGATCAGATTATGAAGATTAAAAAACAATTTTTTTAATCAAAGCGTCCACTTATTTTTCATAATTATTTTCTTATTTTCACTTGTCATATATAACGCAGGTTTCTATATATTACTATTTGCAACCTGAAATGCTTGATATGTGTGTATGTTCTTTTTTTTTTGTGTTTTCCATCTAAGCAACATTTGCAACTTGGTTTGTTTTGCTCTCAGGATTCATTTTTTTTATTAAAATACTTCTGTTCTCTGCCCAAAAAAAGAAAAAAAAAAAAAAAAAAAAAACAGATTGTCACAAATTGTAATGTTGATCTAGTAGTTAGTTCAAATAAAATTCAATCGAATTTTCAGTTTCTTGAAAAAAAAAAGTTCATTGAATCAATCGACGAATTTGCCGGATAACAGAAAAAGAACACAACACGGTGCTTTAGAATTATAATAATATTATATTCCAAATTTAACTAAAGCTTTGCTGAGACGCAAACAAAAAACTCTGTGCTCACATCCCAGCGAACGTTCGGTTATTAATTTGCTGATATAACAAGAAGAAGAAGAAGAAGGATTGTAATGCTCAGATCCTTAAAAATTGTTGAATAGTTGGGAGAAATGTTATTTATTTATGTATTTAACTAGGTTTCAATTTATCATGGCCTGCACGGTTATTTGTTCCATATGTACCGACACTTTTAATAGTTTGGATAATGTTGGGTGCATTAGCTGTGGCCATATATTTCATGATCTCTGCATTCGAAATTGGATGGAAAGGTAATTATAATTGTGATAACAGTAAGAATTCGCTAAATATCCTACTCTTGTAGATCTAATCTATGCCCTATATGTCGCTCTTATTATTCGATTATTAAAAAAGTCTATCTAAATTTTGATGGAAATATGGACGGTGAAGTGAAGCTTAAGCTGAAACTACAACAAGCTGAAAATAAGATAAAGGCATTGCTTGAAAAAGTTGACGAAATCGATAAAAAGTACACAGAATTGCAGAAAGAATATAATTTATCTGAATCTAATTTTCTAAGTTTACATAAACAATACACCGAGTTGGATGAAAATAATAAAAGGATGAACACGTGGCTAGCGGAGGTTCACGATATACCATCACAAACGTGCGAAAAATCGGTCGACTTTTGTCAGCAAGCTATGCAACTTTATGGCCAAAAGGCTTCAACAGAGAGAAAAGACAACACTGCATTTCCCTTTACCTTTCCCGCTACTACCGTAATTTACCGTAATTCAAGAAGCGGTGGCGATTACGATAAACAAGGGGATTCAAGCAGCATTAATTTATTTGAAATCAGTTCAAATGGCATTCGTCCGGATACGGAAAAAGCTGTTAACAAGTCGGTAATTGATGGGCCCCCTGCAGTTATGAGTAACACCAACTTCTTTGATAATAGTTCGGCAGTTCCTAGCACATCGGGCATTAATAAAATGTATCCCAAAAAGTTCAGCTTATTTTCAACGGGAACCACTAGATCGAGTGCGCAGTCTTTGTTTACCTTTTCCTCTTCTGGTAGTAATTCAAAAAGCGGTGGCGATCACGATAAACAAGAAGATTCAAGTTGCGATATCGTATTTGAAAACAATTCAAAAGGCATTCGTCTGGGTACGGGAAAAGTTGTTAACAAGTCGCCAATTGATGGTCTCGCTGCAGTTATGCGCAACACCAACTTCTTTGATAATAGTTCGGCAGTTGCTAGCACATCGGGCGTTAATATAATGAATCCCAAAAAATTCAGCTTATTTTCAACGGGAACCACTAGATCCAGTGCGCAGTCATTGTTTACCTTTTCCTCTTCTGGTAGTATTTCAAAAGGAGATCCGAATTGCGATAACTTATTTGAAAAAAATTTTAGAGACATTTCTCTGGGTACGGAAAAAGCTGTTAACAACTCGGTAGTGGATGGTCTCTCTGCAGTTATGCCCAACACTAACTTCTTTGATAATGGTTCGCCAGTTGCTAGCACATCCGCCGTTAATATAAGTTGTACCAAAAGCAATATCAACTTATCTTCAACGGGAACGAACGAGAATAAAACCGGCTCTATTTTCGCAACATCGAACCTCAACCAGATGAATAATATTACAATAAATTCTCAAAAGAGCCCTCTTGGTACATTACACACCACTCCTGCCAACAATGAAAAATTGTCCAACATTAGTTTCGCATTTCCCCATTTTCCGCCTAAGTGTAGTACTGTGGTCGCAAGTAACACTACTAATAGTGTGTTTATGAACGGTAAAAGGGCGTCAGCCGATTGCATGACAGGCGCAAGTGTAACTGCAAATACTGTGATTGCTTCAATTAGTGATAGCACGGTTATAGCCTCCTCTACTACCGATACTGGAATAGAATGGCCTAATAATGCTTTCATATTTGGCAGTGAAGAAAATACGGAAAATATAAACGAAAATCCTAGAGCTACTTTCGGTTCATTTCCGTTCTTTGGTCCAACGGGCTGCACTTTAACCAAACCGGAAAATTTGACTGATCATTTTGTAAAACTAAAGATTAATTCCAATAAATCAAAAGTGCCCGAACAACGTCCGGTAAGAAGAGTAGATAGAAAACCTAAGAAAAACCCATTTCATGATTTAAATACGCGCTGCTTGAAGGCAAGTGGTTTCAAAACTTGAAATTTTTTAAGGTAGACTAATGTTAATAGATGACAATTAATTTTTTCAGAGCGGTTTCAGTGTAACTGATACACCATTGATTTTACAAAATCAATTGAGGTGAGTTGATCAAGTACTTCAATTGCAAAACAACCTCAACCATATATAAATAATGTGTAATTCTATGTTGAGAGTTAACAACATTCAAGAGCTGATATTACAACTGCATAAAGCGTATTCCTCAGCACAAACAAGTTATCAGTGGAAATGAAAAAGAATCTTCAAACTTCGTCTCTTTGCAAACTAACACTAATTAAAGATAAATAAGACTTTAGAAGGGAAGAAAATCCCGGTCATAAAGCAAAGTTATAATGCTTAGTCGGAAAGAGAACAAAGCACATTTCCTTTACATATGTTTCACTTGTAATTAGCAAAAAAGGCAGAATTTCCTTCATGAAAAGTGATTGCACCATTCCTTACCTTTCCTTTGTTCATTCTTTACTTCATAATAATAATTCTTATTATATATCTCTGTATGTCAAAGGTCATCCTTTCGACGATTACATTAATTAATGGAGTTCATTTTCTTTTCCTTTATCTTTTTTCTATTTCTAATTTTTTTTTTTTTTTTTTGTAATCAGTCAATCAGATGTTATTCCGCATAAACGTGTAAACGCGGTCATTTCTAAGGGGAAACAAGTAATAAAAGTTAGCTAGGGTGCGACTTCAATTTGTCCTTGCCTATCGAAAATTCACCATAGCTGCACCATCAACGCCAATAACAATAAAAGTACGATCGAATGGACCCGGGTGTGTTCCCTTCGTAATCGCATTTCTTATCTAATAAGCTACACATACCAGGTTAGCACCAAGTGCCTATGAATGTACATAAATTGTGCAAACTGAAAGTATTATATATATTTAAATTGTTAAGATATTTTTATGTAAGCACAAGTGCACTTAAGAGTTTTCTAAAAAGCCTATAACAGCCTTAGACGCTACTGCCTTAAGACTTGTTTTGTCTTGAAATTTATATCTCTGGTTAAATTAATAATAATATGTAATATGTAATGTAATGAATTAATCTTAATTGTCTTTGCGTTTAGAATGGAATCAAAAAAAGCTGACGCGCATGGAAATCGAAATTGTAAGGATCATTAATTTAGATGATGACGATACAGCCAAAGTGATCCCTCAAAACTTAGATCTTTAATACGATGATAAGCCATTCCAATAATTCCTATTCAGTAACGGAATTACCCGTTTGCTCGAAAGGCAATCATTTTTCTTATACATTATTTCCAGTTTCAGTTTATCATCAATAGCATTATCTACTATTATTTTTCGTATTATCTACTTTGATTTTTTTTCTTTTCCATCATTTAATAATCACTAGAAATGTATGTAATCTAAATTTAAATATTACTTATATGTTAATTGATCGCTTGTACTTATATACCTATACTTATATGTTTTTCCGAATTATTCTTTATGTATTTGTATTAAAATCTTAGTTGAGTTTATTCATCAATTCAATTATTAAAATCTTAATCTAGTTAAGAGACAGATTAGTTTATCATTTCCAGTATCAATTTATTATATATCTGTTTCAACAAAGATTTGCCTTAACTATCTTGGCGAAATATTTCCGAAAAAAACAAAGAAAAGAAAACTTATACCTGTACCTGAAAAACAGACGAATAAAAAAATAATGTTCGATTATAGAGGAATATTTTTATACTCACTCTCCTTCTTATCTATC